GTGGTTATTGTGGTGATGGTTATGATAGCGTTGGTTCTAATAATGACGATGATGAAAGCGATCACGGTTGCGGTGCGTGACGGTGATAGTGTTGATATTAAAAATAGTTAATAGATAATAAATAAATAAAATATATAATTATTTTAAAGAAAAAAATTTATTCTTATTTTTTGTTTTTATTTTCACATCTTATATAAGAATGAAATTGTTTATAATTTTTCATTTACACTTTTATTTCATTTTTTTTTAATCAAACAGATAAAACATGGAAATAAAACTTCTATTTTCGTTTCCACCATCCTATTTATAATTATGAAATAGCACCTAAGTTTATTGCAGCTTAGCACACTTTTATCTTTACTACTACTATTAGCGAAGAAATTAGTGAGTATCAATGGCATGTTCAGTTATACTAATTTGAGCGAAATCAGACCTTAGGCCTACGCTTTCAGAAACCACTCGTGAAAGTTTGATTTAAAACGGTACGGGGACCCTTTTTAGATTTGCAATCATTGAAATAAAACTCACTTCAGCTCCGAAGACACCCAATGCTCTGTCTCTCGCCCCTCTCTCTCTCTCTCTCTTAGAGCTCATTGGATTCAAGCGGCATCCAAGGTGACTAAGTGAGCTGCTACCAAAATATAATATTATCCCCAGAATCTAATAGCGAGAAAAAAGCTTCAGTGGATGTTTAGTTGTCAAAATCTCACTAAACTATTTTTTTCCCTTTCATGGATGTATGTATATGTTATATTTTATACTATATGAATTTTAAATTACCTAAAAGCTTTGACTAAAGGGCTGTTTATGCAATGTTTTAGATTCTCTTTTGTATCTTAGCTACTTCAAAATTATTTCTTATTAGAAGTTTCAAGTGCGAAATCATAAAAAGCTACACAGAAGGTATTTTACAAATCAGCGGCAACGTGCGCTGTTTACATTTTAATGGGGTTGCGATCTATGTATTTTTGATAAGCCAATTCAGATTTAAGTTCAATTGACCAATTTAATTTAGTCAGTAATGGAATCTCTCTTTAGTTCTTGATTTGGTTTTAGAAACCTGTCATTGGTCTTGAGTAATTGGAGAAATTAATACTGGACCGGTATTTTTGAATGATATTCAGGGCAAACATATAGCGTTTGCCATGGGAACAATTTGTATAATTACTTAGAGCTTGAAGGTCTGTAGCTTGATGGTCAAAGATGGGGTAGGTATTAGACAATAATATGTGAGCATGCATGGTTCTTAAAATTTGAAGTCAAAGGGAACCGGAAGCAACAAACATCTCACATTTGATGCCGGTTTATTCGCCAACAAAGACCCTGGAATAGGAGGCAAACGGCCATGGTTTCCTTCGTATGCGAAGCAGGTGAAGTATCCAGACATCCCAATATGCCATAGTTTTATACAGAACATGCATGCAACTAGTTTTACTGAAAAAATAATAAGCTGCCACTAAAAGAAATGGCAAAATGCACTTCTCATTTCTCAAAAGAAATCCAAATCTGCTTTAGCTAACATATGGACAAGTACAGCTACGAAAAGCCAACTAATACGAGACAAGAGGAATCCAGGATGGCTAGAAAATTAAGTAAAAAACGTTGGTAATAGACATTAGCCGTATCTCTACGTTAATTAAGATAATTTAGATTCCAGTTATTCTTGTAGCTTTAAATTAGCAAGAGGTCACCATATACGCACTCGTGGAGCTATAAATTTTAAAATCATGGAGTATATATTGAACTTAATTATTAATTAGCTCTGTTATGTCTGCAAGTATGAAACCAGGCAGATGCAGCCACTGAAGAAATGAGCCATCAAACACGTTATCTTGCGTTTATCGGGAATGTAGGGCATTGTAACTGGACGCAATGACAAACTCGTCAGCATTAATCTATGAATTTATGGCATTGAGATATAGACATCTTTGCAATTAACAAATCGATGCCTCGTGAATGCTAGCTTATAGATAATGGTTAATTTTTAGAAAGAAGCTAAGCTCGTGAATTTAGGTTTTAGATATGATGATGATAGTATAGTATTTGATTAACATGATGTTAATTAAGTTGCATCGGGTTAGTACACTGCATATACACCACATATATAACCCAATTTGCAGTTTAATATTGTTTACTTCCGTGCAATTTATTCTAGTAAAATCATGAACCGATAAAATGCATTCTTATAACTGCTATAATCCTTTTGTTTTAAAATTGCGTTTTTTTTTTTTCAAAAGAAAAAATAACAATTTCATTAATAACAGGGGAGGGCATGCAGTATCCCCTCTAGGTTTTGACCGGCATTACATTTTGGTCCATATACTTTTTAACGCTAGAATTTTATCCTTATGCTGAAAAAAATTATTTAGTGAGAGACCCTCGTGTAAATAGCATAATTAATCATATATTGGCCCTTGATTTTTAGGAAATAAAATTTATGTGTATTTATGAGGTAAAATCCTTAAAATTATTCCACAAGTCAATATATTTGTTTATATAATTATGATCATTAAATTATTGGACAAGTCAATATATAAGATAGAAAATATAATTATTTTAGACCAAAAATGTTAAAAAATAATTTAATGCATATGCAAAATATTTGTTCCAGATGAATTAAAAAAACCCTTTTATTATATTGTTCAAATTATCTATGCGTGTGGTTTACAATACAAATGACCTGTCTATAGATAAAATGTATCTATGAACAATATGATAAATAATACCATATTATCAGTCTTGTCTCCCAAAAAGTTTGAGCAGGATTCGCCACTGCTAGTTTTACAGTGTGCGATTAACGTCATTTTCTCCTATAGTACTTAATTTAGTGAATTACTATTCATAAGAGATTATTAGCAAGGACTTAAATCATATTTATTTAGTTTTCTAACCTAATTAATGACTTTTACATCCGTTTAGTTTTCTCGTCAAATTCTCCAATTATACTTATTTATTTACAAGCAAAAGAAAAAAAATATTTGAGTTTTTACTACGTACTTGAATGCATGTTATGGCTTTTAAACATGATATAAAATTCTTATAATTTTATTAATAATAATATTTAAAATTTTAGAAGTAATCTCATTTGAGCACATATATACTAAATTTTTCTTCATTATTCTATCTGTTGGTGTCAGTTAGTCGGATGCTATGCGTCTATGCTAACTTTAAAAATTTACTTTTTAAAATCAACTTCGTATTATTGTATAGTACTTTATTTCGTGAAAGATGATGTTTAATTAATCGAATTTAAAATTTCATACAAATTTATATTATAATTCAATTTCTTATATTAGTCGATATATTTGATTCAAATAAGGGCTTTCAAATGATTTTTTTTATCATAATTAAATTTAATATTTAATTACTCATAATCTTTGCTTTTCTTAGATATTTTTAAAGTCTTGTAATATTGGTGAATATTTTAACTTAAAATCATGATATATAATTATATTGTTTCATTAAAAAATCTCAAATTATAGTAAAACTAGTTTTATTATTGTTGTCATTGCTATAGACTCTGCTATACAATTTTAAGTAGATAACTTTTTTTAAAAAGAAATCAAATTTAATGTTTAGAAAAATAGAATATTTATTGTTCCTTAAGTTTGAATAAATGGAAAAAAAAAGAGCTTTAACTAATTCAACCTTTTAATTGGCTCAAGTAAAATAAATATAATTTACATCAGATGATGATCATATTGCAAATTTTGGAATAGTACAGTGTGTATTGTAGAATACGTATCCATTGGCACGTAATTCATGTCAACATGGTTTGTAATGCAACATCCAATATTATCACATGCATTATTCATCACAAGACACTTTTGATTTTTTTTTTTGGCTAAATAAAAATAAAACCATTAATAATGTGAAAATTAATTTATCAGTACTTTCGAAACATCCAATGAAATTAGATTGTGAAACAATTAATTAAATACATAGAACTAAAATTGAGTGAGAAAAATAGAATATATCGTTTTTCTTATTTTCGATTTATCGGAACCAAATTGTTAAATAACAAAAAATAACTAATTACTAATGATTCAGATTAATTCCATAACTCGATTTCAACCTCTTGTATCAGCTGGGAGCTTTCAAACGGTTCACTTCCACGGTGAAGTACAAAAGAAGATTGGCGTTCAAACTTTGCTAGCTATGCATGAGCTTGATCCAGCTGGAATGGGGCGCTTTATTGTTAACAAAAAAGAAATCACAATCTCTCTTGTTCACCACCTCAGTACTAGAGAGCATTTATATCGACGGCCAGAGCGCGTCACATCACGTGCTCAGTCACCTAGGATTCCTCACTGCCATTCGCCGATTGCCAGCTGATCCCTACACACTTCCCAATAAAAAAATGGAGTACTACTCCTTTCGCATGGCGCCAGCCTGTCACTTCAACATATATCCGTTTCCCTTTCTGCCTTCCGCCCTTCAAAAAATAGACCCAGCCAGGAAAAGACATGAGGGGTAATTTGGTCAATGAATAAAAAAGAAAACTGTGCCTAAGCTGTAATCCTTTAGTTGTATTTTTTATAGTGACACGAGTTACCTTATATTTGGCTCTCACGCTCCAGAATTCTGGCGTATGTGATTGGAGCGTGGAAGACAAAGGCTTGCGAATTGAAGGTGGGGATAGTGGTTCTTGTTCCTTTATTTCAATAAAAAACGCGCTTCAGTGCACCGTTGGGTCCTCTTTTTGCTTACTGGCCAAGTAGTAACTCGAAAATGGCAAAAACCCCATCTCCAACTTTATTGTCCCTTTCTTAGCAGTTTCTCTTACACACCATGCTTTTTACTAACTCTATACCTAAAACCCCAGACTATCTCTTAATTAAACAAAAAAAACCCCATTTCTTGGACCTATATAAACACCCTCCTACGCCTCTCAATCCCCACACCAAACAAGAGCAAACACCAGCCATCTTAGCTTTTTGTCCTGCTCCTTATCTAGTATTGTTCATTTCTCCTCCTCCATTAATAAAGAAAGAAAAGAAATGACTTCTTTCCATTTTCAGTTCGTTTTGAAAATATTCCTTCTACTCTCTCTTTTTCAAATCTCTTTTGCTGCTAGGAAACTTAATGAGCTAGTGCAAGATCAACCACAACTCTTGCAATACCACAATGGCGCTCTTCTTTATGGTAAAATCTCAGTTAATCTTATTTGGTATGGCAAGTTCAAGCCATCCCAACGAGCTATTATCTCTGATTTTGTCTCTTCACTGTCTGCTTCACCATCATCGCTCAAAAACAGCCAACCGTCGGTAGCCAAGTGGTGGGAAACCACAGAAAAATACTACCACCTCGTTTCAAAGAAGACCACCCTTTCCTTAACTTTAGGCAAACAAATTCTTGATGAGAAATACTCACTTGGAAAATCACTCACAAACAAACAAATTGCAGAGTTGGCCTCAAAGGGTGACCAAAAAGATGCTATTAACGTTGTACTCACATCTTCTGATGTTACTGTTGAAGGGTTTTGCTTAAACAAATGTGGCTCCCATGGGTCTGCTGTGGGATCTAAAAGTGGAAACCTTAAGGGCAAGAACAACAAATTTGCTTACATTTGGGTCGGTAACTCAGAGACTCAATGTCCTGGTTACTGTGCGTGGCCATTCCACCAGCCAATCTATGGACCACAAAGCCCACCATTGGTTGCTCCCAACAATGATGTGGGTCTAGACGGTATGGTGATCAATTTGGCTAGCCTTTTGGCTGGGACTGCCACAAATCCATTTGGAAATGGTTACTTCCAGGGTCCGAAAGAGGCACCACTAGAGGCTGCATCAGCTTGCCCTGGTGTTTATGGCAAAGGGGCTTATCCTGGTTATGCTGGTAACTTGTTGGTGGATTCTACTACTGGTGCTAGCTATAATGCACATGGGAATAATGCAAGGAAATTCCTGCTTCCTGCTTTGTATGATCCATCTACATCATCCTGTTCAACGTTGGTCTGAAAATGTGAGGGGGTGAAAGTAGGATGACCAGGGGATTAATTAGTAGAATATTATGTATACGCTATAAAATAGTGTCAGACTATGTAATTCATTGATTTGTTGAATTTTTTGGCTTATGCGGATTAAAATAGAAAAGCAAATCACTCTGGTTTGCTTTTACGTTTGAAAAGAATCTTTGTCAGCTACTGTAATAATATTTTTTTGCATCGTTTTGGTTTCTTTGTGCGCTTTTAAGATTTCATGATCACATTGCCGCTAATCAGTAATTTGAAAGCTGATTGTAATCAAAATTTTGGAATGTGTAGGTGTTATTTTAGCATCATCAGGGGGCATTCCAAATTTTGATATTATCCCGCAGATTTAATAAGATCCCGCAGTGCTCCAAGCCTGGAAAATTAATTAATACAGCTTGTCTTATAACAAAGGATAGTTTGATTGCCGCTTTCCAATCCTTCTGGAGCTGGCTTTATGCAAAAATTCGGGCTATATAAAAAATTGTTATGTGATCCACTATCAAATGATTGTAGAACGATATTTCTACCATATATTTCCAGACCGAAATGTATTATCAATCAGTAGACTAAATTCTCTGGCAGAATGAATATATGCCTGCCAAAGTGACCGTTAGTTGGAACGTATAAGTTCCCCTGAACAATTCCCTGCTTACCGACCTTGTATTGAAAGCAAACAAAGCCTGTAAACGAAGATAATGAACTGGGAATACCTTCCAAATCAATACGGTGAATTTAAGGGAGTAAATAATAATCCAGTGCATTTATTCGTAAGAAACTAATAAGTTAATACGTCCAGTTCAAAAATTTCATATCTAATCCATTGCTTTCAAGTTTGTTATAACTTAGTAAAACGTATCGATTTATCGATTTATGATTTTTTAAACTAGAGGGATTAAATTATAATTTTATAAAATGATATACGGACTGACATATAATTTACTAGATTTAATGTGAATTAGCCAATGCATTGATTCTAAGCTAATACGGCTCCATCAAACCTTCCAGGTCTCGCCAGTTATGTTTAGCTGCACCTAAAGTTCATATATATTTCCTTTTTTGGTACACGAAGGCCCAAACTAGATACTCCTCACTAAGCTGTACAAATCAATAGGGAACGCAATTCCCATACAGTTAGACCATAAAAGAGGTGATATTTCATTAGGAGCAAAATCAAAAGATGTCATACTCCACCAGCCTTATCTAGCGAATCTGCTCACCTAATTTCCTTCTATATAGGTGTGCTTAATCATAACTTCCCAAGTCTTGATTTATTTTACCTTCGGTCAGCATATAAAATAAAAGTAAATTAAATACTTGCACTAAAGTTCGCCCACCACCTAAAGATGTATTCAATCTGGGTCAATCTTTAATATTTTCATTTCCATCCCAACCAAATTATTTGAAACATTTCATCAACATGTTTAACTTTTTTGATGGTGAATTCTTTTCTTTACCTAAAAAAAAATGACACACATGGATTTTAATTCCTTCAAGCATTTTTAATTTGAACTCTAGGGGGAAACATTGACCCCCAACCCTTATAATCGATCCTAGATACCTCACAGGTCTTTGGGATTAACGTGAATTTTCAGCTCTCGAACTTCAAAAATAAATTTGTTTTGAGGAACTAGCTCAAACGGAAATGGACATATACAGTGCCTATAAGACAATTAAGATGGGATGTTACGTTTGAAATAACTCCTGTCTGGTTCTCTTTACGCAAGCTCTTACTTTTTTGGGGAAAACTTAGTTGGATAAGCGCTTCATTGAACGTAACGAACTAAAACGAATGCAAATTAAACCACATGTCATGGGGTTCACGAAGTATCGTGCTCCCAGATTTTTGAGAGCTGTTCTAATTTTGATTATTGCGTTGTCCTAATGTGCGGCTGTCTCCGCATGCCCGCTAGTCTTGATACGAATCTTTTTTTTTAACCGATCCCAACTACGGTCTACGGTTACTGTTTTTTCTTAAATAACAAATTTTATTTATCAACTGCCACGTCATTAACACTGGAATGGAAGGATGAGCCAAAATCCAAGTATCTGTTGACATGTATTTGAGCTTTTGTAGCTTTTTGGACTCGGAAAATCCTAAACGCACCTTTCCCGTTTGGTAACACAAAAAAACCGCATGGAAGAAGGAGTGAGAAGCCCTTCTGAACGCATTACCTTCCGTTTGGTTAGCTCCAATTTTTTTTTTTTTTGGGGACTCATTTGAGCTCCAGGCAAAAAATAAATACAAGCTGAGAAGCTCTGAATCTTTAAAAGGGTGTGTGGTAATGCAGTGTAAGTGTTTTTATAAAAATTTGAGTGAATTGAAAATGTATTAAATTGATGCTTTTTTATGTTTTTGACATGAGCATATTAAAATAATTTAAAAAACCTAAAAAAAATATATGAAATTGATATTTTTTTTAGTTCAAAGAGACTTTCAAACATAGAACAAATATTTTACAAAATACATCTTAAATACGTCAATGTAAAAATATTTTCAACTGCATATTTTACGAAACACTTTATTTTTGGGCAACATCTACAACCATTGTTACCACAGCAACGACTATAGCTGCATTCACTGCTAGAGCCTACTTTTAATGTAAAACACACCCTAAGTTTGAGTCAAACTGTAAAAAAAAAATGGGAGAAACTCCAAAGCTTTTCTTCATATATAAGTGTGTGTTAGTAATTTTAAATTAAAAAAAAAATCACTTATAATAACCTAGTCCCTTATGGCACCTACAACAACTAACATCACACGTGCACACTCATTGTTCCCATTCATCTTTTGTTTTCAATGATTTATTTGCTACTATGAACGTGATGGTATATAATTGAGAAAAAGAAAAGGTGGACGGATAACAAGTAGCTCAATGGAGATGACTTGGAAGACATGCCATTTGCCACATAATCCCCAATTCAGGACGCGCTGTGCTAGAGCAGATATGTTTCCCGACTAACTGGACTTCCTGTTGTCCCTTTCCATCCCTGTTGGCTTGACTTTTTGTCCTATTGTATTTGGCTGGCAAACTACTGTTATTTTGTTGAAACTTGAAAGCGAAACTAGCAAGTGGTGCTGTAGCAACACACAGAGTTAATTAATTAAATAACAACGCGTTATCTTCTGGTAGCTTCAAGTTTCCAAGGAACAATTAGCTAGCTAGCAATCAATTGCTAGCTTTCTCTTAGCGTTCACCCTTGCTTTCAACACTGTCTTGGCACTATATATATCCTCCTCTCTCCGTTATTTCTCTTCACTCACTCCAAACCTCGGTAACATTCTCCGTTCTTTCTTCCAATTAGAATTTGAACACATTTTAGAGATTTGATTTATATTGATCGAATTGGATAATGGGTTCTTCGGTTTCCTTCCATCTTGTTTTTCTACTCCAAGTTGCATTATTGGTCTCTCTATTTCATTTCAGCACAGCAGCGAGGAAACTTGCCGGGTCAGTCCAAACTGATCAGCAGCCATTACCGTTTCAATACCACAACGGCCCACTTCTTACCGGAAAAATCTCAATCAACTTGATCTGGTACGGCAAGTTTAAGCCTTCTCAACGTGCACTTATAACAGATTTCGTCGTCTCCCTCACTACTTCCGAGCTTACAGTAGCCCAACCCTCTGTTGCTAAATGGTGGAAGGGTACTGAGAAATACTACCAAGTCATTAAGTCCAACAAATCCCCTTCTCCAGTCCTCTCTCTGGGAACACAATTATTGGAAGAGAGTTATTCCTTGGGCAAATCCCTCTCTAGCAAGCAAATTGTGCAATTAGCATCAAAAGGTAGCCAAAGGAATGCAATCAATGTTGTTTTGACAGCATCTGATGTGGCAGTTGAAGGTTTTTGCTCTAGTAGGTGTGGCACTCATGGGTCCTCTCTGAGTGCTCAAAAAGTCAATGGCAAAAGCTCCAAATTTGCTTATGTTTGGGTTGGTAATTCAGAGACTCAATGCCCAGGTCAATGCGCATGGCCATTCTACCAACCAATTTATGGGCCACAAAGCCCACCTTTGGTCGCACCAAACAATGATGTGGGTCTGGACGGTATGATTATAAACTTGGCTAGCCTCTTGGCAGGGACTGCCACGAACCCATTTGGAAATGGCTACTTCCAGGGTCCCAAAGAGGCACCACTTGAGGCTGCATCAGCGTGCCCTGGGGTTTATGGCAAAGGGTCCTATCCTGGTTATGCTGGGGATCTTTTAGTAGATTCTGCAAGTGGTGCTAGCTACAACGCACATGGTGTCAATGGTAGGAAATACTTGCTTCCTGCTTTGTTTGACCCTTCAACAGCAACTTGTGCTACTTTGGTCTGATAAAAGAGATCGTTTCGACGTGATTGCACATTACTAGGGAGATTTGGTAGGAGAAATTGTTTAATTCTTTGTATTGTTTTTTATTGGTAATTACATCTGTCATTTGGATTAAACGATTAATATACAATTTTTTTTATCTATTTTGTGATATCAACTTGTTGAAAATATTTAACCAACCACCCTAGAAATAACTATTGTTGAGCCCTTCATGTAGCACATTGGTTATCTTATCCTATGATAACTTGTCAATTACTCATCCTTTGTGTGGTAGTTTTCGAGTAATTTACCTTGAAATTATTGAAGTTGTAGTAAAATAATATCTATATCGTTAATTTGGGTTAAAGTATTGACTGATGATTAAAATATTTAATAATAAGAATTTTAGTTTTTCTTAGAATTAAAATTAATTTTTTTAAAAATTATTATTATTATTATTTTACTAGATGGATCCATTATATATTATTAATTATCCAACAACAAAAATCATATTCATAAATAACAAAATCATCCAAGTTCTTTAAAATTAACTATTATTAAATAATCTTTTTTAACAAAATTAAGTTTATTTCTAAAAAAAATATTTAAAATACTATTGTTTTAAGTATTTCAATTAATGATTAAAATTTTGACAATCAGATAGTAATATAAAAGAATAAAGAAAATCAATAGTTTTGAGTTCAAATAATCCAAATTGTTAATAGTTACTACAACTCTAATCAACTCTAATGATTTGAAGATATTGTACCTTTAAATTGTTTTCGAGTAATTCTAAAAGTTTAATAACTGTGTGTAATTATCAGACGAATTCCAAGGCTTCTAAGGAAAATTAATCAATTTATAAAAGAATAATATGTTATACTATTACATAGCGTCTGAGCATCATAATAATATAAATCCTCAAAACTATTGAAAAAAATTAAATACCCAAAGTTCATCCATATGCATGATATTTAATAACAATAATAAAAAAAATAAAAAACATGCGCGGGTACATTCAATGCAATGTAATTCATAAAACGAAAGATTACATCTATATAATATTTGCAAATGACAACTTAAATTTGGGATTTCTATCGGAGAGTCTAAGTCTAGATATTAAGAAATGTGGGGTGGGATTCACTGACGAGAAATAACTATCCCTGTATGTATCTCCAAACACCCTGAACTTCCGATCAACGAAACAAAAAAAGGAAAAAGAAAATTTTGTCTCAGATTTTTTTTTCGAGAAAGAATACATCTGTTACAATATAAAAAAATCGTGTAAGGATAGATTCTTTCTAGCTCTTTAATACATTCAACATGGAAGCATACCCTCGTATAGAAGAATTACACTAAACAACCAATTTTTCAAAATATTATTGTAAGCACTCGAAATTAGTTTTAATCACAAAAAAAAACTCAGAAATTGGTTCATGTAATAGATCACGTTGTTACAATTAATTGGTGTAATGGATCTAAATAAACGTGTAAATCAATTCTACTATTCATTTTAAAGACACCTCTTAAGGGGAAACGGTGTATTGATTTTAGAAGAATAAAACCTAATTAATTTTTCAATGACGTTATACTATAAATGTTTTTGTCCATGTCAATGGAAGTCTTCTGGAAGGACTGCGAGGCACAAATATGTTTGTGAAAAGTTTCTGTCAAATTAGCATTTAAAAATAAAAAACTACTCTGTTTAAAAATAAAATACGATAAAAAGCTCTATTATTTTGCAGCTACGAGTACGAGATAAGGGCACTGTCTTTTGTCTTTTTATCTCTTCTTATTAGCGTGCTCTATGGTCTTTATTCCTCCTAGCTGTCCAAGCACTGGCATAGTGTAATGTTTAGTTGTATACAAATAGATTCGGTTGCAAACGAGAGTAGCCGCGCACACATTTGATTAGCAATGAAACAACGCGCTATTTTTCTGTCATGTTACCACCTGCAGCTTCCAATTCTCGACCCTCTCTCCGCGTAGCTTCCTTCCCCAAAACTTCAACGCCTCCTGAAGCTATATATACCCATCTCCTCCTTTCTGTCTCTTCACTCTAAGCATTACAAAATTCCTTAGATTCTATTCTCTTCCATCAAAGCCATATTTAATTGTTCACTTCAAATCATCAAATTAACCATGGCCTCTTTTGCTTCTTCACATTTTGTTCAACTTGTTCTTTTAGTCTCTATTATTCAATGCAGTTCAGCAGCAAGGAGACTCTCCGAGTCAGGTCAAACCCAAGAACCGTTGTTGTTTCAATACCATAATGGCCCTCTTCTTGCAGGTAAAATTTCTATCAATTTGATCTGGTATGGCAAGTTCAAGCCATCTCAGCGTGCCATTGTCTCAGATTTTATTGCCTCGGTCTCTTCTACAAAACCCACAGCAGCCCAATCCTCTGTTGCCACGTGGTGGAAAGCTACAGAGACATATTATAACCTTATCACATCTAAGAAAACCTCTCCTCTCGTTCTCTCTTTAGGATCACAAATTTTAGACGAGAGCTATTCATTAGGGAAATCGCTGTCTAACAAGCAAATTGTGCAATTAGCATCAAATGGTGGTCAAAAGGATGCAATCAACGTTGTCTTGACATCATCCGATGTTGCTGTTGAAGGGTTTTGCTCTAGTAAATGTGGCACTCATGGGTCTTCTTTAAGTGCTAAAAACATCAATGGCAAGAGATCTAGATTTGCCTACATTTGGGTTGGTAACTCTGAGACTCAATGCCCCGGTCATTGTGCGTGGCCATTCCATCAGCCAATGTATGGACCACAGAACCCTCCATTGATTGCTCCCAACAATGATGTGGGTCTTGATGGTATGGTTATCAGTTTGGCCAGTCTTTTGGCTGGGACTGCAACAAATCCATTTGGAAATGGGTATTTCCAGGGTCCAAAGGAGGCTCCTCTTGAGGCTGCATCTGCTTGTCCTGGGGTTTTTGGCAAGGGTGCCTATCCGGGTTATGCTGGGGATTTGTTAGTGGACTCGACAACTGGTGCTAGCTATAATGCTCATGGTGTTAATGGAAGGAAATACATGCTTCCTGCTTTATTTGACCCTTCAACTTCAACTTGTTCCACTGTAGTCTGAGAAGGGATAGTAAAAATCATATAGACAGTAGAACTGTAAGAGAGATTATTCTTTGATTCAATGGTAATGAAATTAAATTTTAAGCATATTTGAATGTTATTCTCCTCTCGATTGTGAGTGATAAGGTAAGCAAAAAGGCAGTCTTTTCAACTCATTTTCCTAATACCAAAATTAATATTCATTTCCCACATGTTATTTTGCCATAACATCTCCCTCTAATAAATTCTGGGCGAAGTTGGTGGCCTGTGTTTTTATAGTGCTTTACCAAGATTGACTAGTATATTCTGAGGGCAGTCTCCCAGCAAATTCATGTTGTTGGTGCAGAAGATCGTTCCTGTTGAAGTAAGTATTAAATCGTTTTCAATAATACCTTTTTCTCTACAATATTATAACAAGTAAAAAAAGTTGTCCTATAACCACTTTTATACACATAAAATCACATAAAAAATAGTGTTAGGAAAAAAAGATCATAGCATATTTTATTTGGTTTATGACAAAAATTGTATTTATTTTTTTGCAATTTGACAATTTTAAGTCTTTATAACAATTTACGTAATTTAAATCCTTAAATATTGATTTTTGAATAATTATTTGTAACGTTTAACTCAATTGATTGATAATTTAGTTTTTTTGCCATTATTTTTTAACATGTTAAAAATATTTTTTTTTCTCTTTTTTCAAAAGAGATTATAAAAAAAAACGCTAAAACAAAATGAATTTTTACTATTCATAACACTATTCACATACTCACAAATCACTATTCTTTTCGTTATTCATGACATTGTTGTATGCTTTGGTCTTTAATTTTTCTATATATTGTTTTTCAATTTCAAATTTCAATTGTATTGTGATTTGTCCTATTTTCTTTTTACATTTTTTATTAATTATTTTTATTATTTAAAATTTACTACATTAATTTTTTATTTTTTAAAAAAAATTCTAATTTAAAATTATATTTATTGACAGTTTTAATTTATTTTTCTATATGTATGGATTTTAGAATAAATTTTTATAATATGATTTTTTTTTAAAGATAGATTTATATAATTTTTAAATTATAGTGGCATGATTAATATATATAATTTTTTGAAATATATTTTTAGATTAAAAATGCATTTCAAATAATTTTCTCTCGACTTTTTAGAAAAAAACTCAAATTAGTTAATTAATAATTAGAAATTAAATGTGAAAAATATGGTTGCTCTGCACATGAGGCATGTATTCAAGAACTAGTTATGTATAGCATAGAAATAAAAAGTTATATAAGAAGGAGGAAGAAAAAAGAAAAAAAAACTCATGTGTTTTATTTGTTTCTTCCATATATAATCAAAATTTATCGAAATCAATTTTGTAATAATTTTTATTTTAGTCAATATTAACTTTAAATTTAGTCAATCTATTCCTTGCAAGTTAATTTTTTTTTTATAATGTTTTTTTGTTTAATACCGAAAACTCTAAACTCACTTGGTATAGTTATGATGCCGAAAACTCTAAACTCAATTGGTATAGTTATGATATATATATATATATATATATTGAATCGTTGTTTTTAGAGAATTAAATATGCAACTACTATTATACTAAGTATGTAATAATTATTTATTTATTTTTGAATATTTTAAATGAAATACTTAAAATTATGTTTTAGCTTAACCACTCAATGATTCAAATTAATATAGTTTTTTATTTTGATAGTATTCATTCTCTTGCGAATAAACATATAAAAATTAAATTCACAATCTTTTAAAAACCGATATTCTCATCAACATTAAATAAAAATAAAAATAATAATAAAAAATTTATTTGTTCAATTCTATATAATTTTTATTAATTATTATTTTAGTTTTTGACACAATCTTACGAAATAGTAAAGCTTTTTTAAATTTATTTATTTATTTTTTTAGTTAATAATCCTTGAATTAACAAGAATAAATCATTTTTCTAGTAGAAAATCATGAAAACACAAATAAGAAATAGTTAAATATAAAATTTTGATTAAAAAATTATAAATATATTTTTTTAATATTTGATTTTATATATTTTTATAAATGCACACTATAACACGAACTATTAAATTCAAATGATTTTTTTAAATGATTTCATATATTTTAGTGTAATGTAGACAAAAAAAACTAGTTAGTTCTATTTAAAATTTCAAAATATTAGTCCTTTTGATTTTTAATAATGAATTAAATTGTTATTTGTATATATATTTTTTAAAATTAAAAAAAAAATCAACATGGAGGCATACCCTCGTATGGAAGAATTAAACTAAACAACCAATTTTTCAAAATATTATTGTAAGCACTTGAAATTAGTTTTAATTAAAAAAAAACTCAGAAATTGGTTCGTATGATAGATCAAGTTGTTACAGTTAATCAGTGCAATGGATCTCGATAAACGTGTAATTCAAACTTACTGTAACAATTATACGAACAGTTTTCTTTTATTAAAGACACCTCTCAAGGAGAAAAAGGTGTATTGATTTTAGAAGAATAAAACCCAATTAATTTTTCAATGACGTTATGCTATAATTTTTTTAGTCCATGTAGTACAATGGAAGGCTTCTGGAAGGACTAGGAGGCATGCATATGTTTGTGAGAAGTTTCTGTCCAATTACCACCGAAATTTATATCCAACACGGTTTAAGAAATTTGCCTCGAACACCGTCCATCTCCTCCTTGTGCAGCTCTCGTTCCTGCTCTTGATTGTTGTTAATTCAAACCGACTACTTTTAACTTCAATAATTTAGTTAAATGAAGGACGTGTTTTTTTAGAAACGCATAAAATTCAAACTGTGCCAACAACTTGGGTTGGAACCATAATTAATTGATAATATCTCACAAACTTTCTCCGATATCCATAATATATTTTTTACTAGATGAGGAGATCTATTTTAGTGTTGCCTAAATTAGCTTGAAGATGCGAATTAATCAGGTCGCAAAAAAAAAAAAAAATCACAATAAAAATCAGTAGCTCATTAGAATTCAAAAGGATGCGTTGAAAACCAATGCAACGGGAAAGTAATCTAATATTTCTACTACAAAAACGATAATCTTACAGCATTGGTGCAATGATTCACATATTAAACCTAGGACACTGGTCTATGTGTGCATCTAGAAGGCACACAATAAAATCGCAATTTTTTTGGTAAGCATAAAAAACTACTCTGTTTAAAAATAAAATACAATAAAAAGCTCCATTATTTTGCAGCTACGAGTACGAGACAGGAGTACCGAAGTCTCTGGTGTTATGGATGCCATGACCCATCGCCATTAGAGGCTAGATGTGCCATTCCCCAAACGTGCCCAAAGCCTCTGACCACTTGACACTAACTTTTGTCTTTTTATCCCTTCTTATTAGCATGCCCTATAGTCTTTATTTCTCCAAGCTGGCCAAGCACTGTCATAATGTTATGTTTAGTTGTATACAAATAGATTCGGTTACAAACAAGCGTAGCCGCTCACGCATTTGATTAGCGATGAAACAACGCGCTATTTATCTGATCATGTCATCATTTGCAACTTCCAATTCTCAAGTCTCAACCCTCTCTCCGAGTAGCTTCCTTCCCCAAAATTTCTACGCTTCTTTGAGGCTATATATACGCATCTCCACCTTTGTTTCTCTTCACTCCAAGCAATACAAAATTCATTAGATTCTAATCTCTTCCATCAATAGCCTTATTTACTTGCTCGCTTCAAATCATCAAATTAACCATGGCCTCTTTTGCTTCTTCACATCTTGTTCTTCAACTTGTTCTATTAGTCTCTATTATTCAATTCAGTTCAGCAGCAAGGAGACTCTCCGTGTCAGATCAAACCCAAGAACCTTTGTTGTTTCAATACCATAATGGCCCTCTTCTTGCTGGTAAAATGTCTATCAATTTGATCTGGTATGGCAAGTTCAAGCCATCTCAGCGTGCCATTGTCTCAGATTTTATTTCCTCGTTCTCTTCTACAAAACCCACATGCAGCCCAATCCTCTGTTGCCACGTGGTGGACAGCTACAGAGACATATTATAACCTTATCACATCGAAGAAAACCTCTCCTCTCATTCTCTCTTTAGGATCACAAATTTTAGACGAGAGCTATTCATTAGGGAAATCGCTGTCTAACAAGCAAATTGTGCAATTAGCATCAAATGGTGGTCAAAAGGATGCAATCAACGTTGTCTTGACATCATCCGATGTTGCTGTTGAAGGGTTTTGCTCTAGTAAATGTGGCACTCATGGGTCTTCGTTAAGTGCTAAAAACATCAATGGCAAGAGATCTAAATTTGCCTACATTTGGGTTGGTAACTCTGAGACTCAATGCCCCGGTCATTGTGCGTGGCCATTCCATCAGCCAATGTATGGACCACAGAACCCTCCATTGATTGCTCCCAACAATGATGTGGGTCTTGATGGTATGGTTATCAGTTTGGCCAGTCTTTTGGCTGGGACTGCAACAAATCCATTTGGAAATGGGTATTTCCAGGGTCCAAAGGAGGCTCCTCTTGAGGCTGCATCTGCTTGTCCTGGGGTTTTTGGCAAGGGTGCCTATCCGGGTTATGCTGGGGATTTGTTAGTGGACTCGACAACTGGTGCTAGCTATAACGCTCATGGTGTTAATGGAAGGAAATACATGCTTCCTGCTTTATTTGACCCTTCAACTTCAACTTGTTCCACTTTAGTCTGAGAAGGGATAATAAAAATCATATAGACAGTAGAACTGTAAGAGAGATTATTCTTTGATTCAATGGTAATGAAATTAAATTTTAAGCATATTTGAATGTTATTCTCCTCTCGATTGTGAGTGATAAGGTAAGCAAAAAGGCAGTCTTTTCAACTCATTTTCCTAATACCAAAATTAATATTCATTTCCCACATGTTATTTTGCCATAACATCTACCCTCTAATAAATTCTGGGCGAAGTTGGTGGCCTGTGTTTTTATAGTACTTTACCAAGATTGACAGTATATTCTGAGGGGAGTCCCCCAGGAAATTCATGTTGTTGGTGCA